TTCTGATTGAAATTATTTTGATTTTTTTTTTTTTTTTGAGACAGGGTCTCACTGTGTAGTTCAGGCTGGTCTTGAACTTACTATGTAGCTCAGGCTGGCCTCAAACTCATAACAAAACTCCTTCCTCACCTTCCTAGATGTTGGGACTACAGGCATGTGCCACCATGCCAGCCTCTGATCTACCATACCAAGCCCTGAAACCTTTTCATGAACTCTAATTTTTGCTAAACTGGTCATTCATGTTTTATATCATTTAGTTTAGCTTTTTATTAGTGTCTCTGAAAGCTCTTGGACCTTTTTGTTATTACTTCCATTATCTGTTTAGTTATATCTTGTGTGACCCCACTGAGTACCTCTTTGGTCTGTTTCCAACCTCCTCTGTTATCCTTTTAAATAATCCTGGTGTATCACTTTATGCCATTCTCCCCTTCAACTCCTAGTTTGGCCTCAGTGGAGTTGGAAGTTTTGGGACCCATTTTGTTGTTTTTTCATGTTTCCATTTTTTTGTTTTATTCTGAGGCTCATGGATGCTTATAATATGAAGACTTTGTTGCTAGTGTAGAGATATCTTTAGCTGTTGCTTTTTAGTGATGTACTTTTGGGTGTGGCTAACGATAGTCCTTTGCCTCAGTCTCATGATCTGATCACCTTGGTTAGTTTGGGACAGAAGCATGCAATGCAGTTGACCCAACATTTAGTCCTTGGGGAATGTACTTTAGTATTGTTGCCTTACAGAGAAAACCTATTAATGATAACATTTGTGTGACCTTGATAATAATAAGCAAATAAGCTACAGTAGTATCATCCAAGATAAATTAGATATTAACTTACTGTATGAACCAATTATATACCACCTTTAGCCTTAAGAGAAGAAATCTACAATTATGGCATAAACAATAAGACAACCATTATTGACTTGCAGTTATATGCACTAAATGTGACAGCTATATATTCACTAATGCTAGAAAAAATTTCAACAATAATTTAAGGAGTTAACATTAAAAAATTAATAAAGGCTTAATTATTACTAAAGATATAAGGGGCTTAAATGGGGTAATGCAAGAAGAAAAGTTTGAAACTTTAGATAATATGAAAAGGAAGAGAGAGAAATAACAAAAGACCCTATTGGGGACTAGAAGAGTGTTTGTAAAATTAGGTAAAGATGAGAGAAAATAACTGATGAGAAACAGAAGATGAAAGAAAAAGAGAGATAAAGGAAGTAAGAAGGGAGTAAAAATAAGAAAAAATTTAAAGGGAGAAAAATTAAGAGGCAGAAGAGGAAAAAATAGAGAAAAAGTAACAGAAGAGATAAGAAGCAAGGAAAAAGGACAGAGGAAGATTCCCTGCACCCCAATAAACTGTTGAAGAAAGGAAGAAAGGGAAGAAAAAAGAACAAAAAGTAAAAACACAACACAAAACAATGCACACACACAAAAGAAAACTTCTCTTTGATTTTGAATATGTGGTTTTCTTCTGGAATGTACAATTTTGGGGGCATTATTTTGGGGTGTTTAGGGTGAGGGTCCCAGCGCTGTCCTCGCTTTCAAATGCAGAGCCATCCTGGCTGTGGGTGTGGGACCTGTGTTCTTTAGCTGAAGTCTCTCAGGGAGTCTCTTTCCAGCCATCTCCTTGACCACAGGTGTCTCCTGTGACTGTCTCTCACCCGGTCCCTGTGGGAACCTAACTACCCTAAGGACTTGCCCTGAAGGAAGACCATCCCATGGCTGCTCTGAGTCCCAGGTTCAAACAATTAATCCTTCCCCAGAACAGCAGGCCACCAAGCACTCTTCAGGGACATGGTGAGTGCTGGGACAGGAGCTGCTTGTCAGCTGTTGCCTTTTGAAGGACTCTCATGGGAGCAGAATCCCATGCTCTTCTTGTAACTTACAGGGCCCACAGTCTGCTCCACCACAGGTTTCTCTCTGAAGCCTTCTGAGTCCCTGGTTTTCACTTTGTCTCTATAGATTTGGTCTCCCTTTCTTGTAAGCTATGAGCCAGAAACTGGGGAGAAAGTAAACTGTCTTATGGTTCAATCTATTTTCCTCTGGTACCCTACAGAAAACCATGTGTATAATGCAGTGCTCCCCAAATTACTTAAAACCTCTGGGCCAAGTGGTCACTTATGTAGTTATTGCTCTGATGCAGTTTTAGGGTGGCCCATCTGTCCACAATTCTCTGCATCAGGCTGGGCTGTCTGCTCACGGCACTTCTAGGCATAGCCTGGTTCTTTAGCAGCTCCCCACAGCCAGGACATCACAATCAAATTTCTGCCTTGTCTGCTGCTTGTCCCACTAGACTGCAGGAACTAGTGGGCAAAACTGCAGGGTTTCTCAGACATTTTCCATTGAATTTACCATCTTTTGCTGGAAAAACTCAGAGTTTTCACATCATTTTTTAATCCAGTTGGTGCCTTCATGGCTATGGTGTTACCAAAATGCTGGGGTCAGGTTTCATGGGGATAAAGAGTAAAAACCATGGAATAAAGGAGGTAGGGTGCAAACAAATTTATTTAAAAGATACAAAGGCAAGAAAGTGAAAGATCTGAAGTCAAGGAAGGAAAGCTCCTGCAGCTGGGAGAAGCTCTAAGTAGGATCTGCATGAGGCTGTCAGGAGTTTTTAAGGGATTTAGAACAGGGCTCAGACTATTGGGTAAGCAACACCATCTCTACCCTATACGAGACACATACTTTGGGGGTCCAATGTTCACGCAGTCTCCATGTACCCTTGAGCCAATGGCCTGCCTGATCATACTCTGTAGAGCTACTAGGCAAGTGAAATGATGCTGGCAGATATTTTTATAAGATCCATGGAGGTTCAAAATTCAGCAAAGCCCATTTTGGAGCTGCTGTTCTTACTACTTAACAGAATCCTAGCTCCTAACTCCTGCTACAGAGGGACAACAGGGACAAAGACAAACTCAGAGGCCTGGGCCAGGGATGTGGGAAGGGCAAGAGCATTTCCAGGTCACACTCAGGCTTCCTGAACTGGACCCAAAGCTCCAGCAGGCTTCCGTGAATCAGTGTTTCTCAATTTATTTCACTTCAGGCGATTTTCAGAGCCCTGAAGTAGTAATAATTTTGCCCAGTTCTGCCCCCGTTTTCTTCTGGGCGGAATATGCCTGCCCCTTCTCTTACGGAAGTCTTCCCATTGTTCATTTTAAAAGAAGAAATGTGCAGGGTTCTGCCCTGAGATCAGAGCAGGTTCACTATACTCTGCAGTCTGTGTGGTTCCTGAGCGACTCAGAGGTTCATGGAAGGGGCCACGATGCTTGGAAATAATTTGAAGAAAAGATAAAATGAAATGGAAAGGAAAATTCTTCCAATTCCAGTAAAATGGATTACAGTTCAGAAATACTACAAGAAACACTTTTTCTGTGTAAATTCCTGTTCTGTTCATAATTCTTAGGTATTGTTCCTTGCACCTTTATCTTGCCCAAAAGTACAGAAATAGTAAATAAAAACTGAGGGTTTTCTCTATTTTTGTTTTTGTGGCACTGAGGATTGTACCAGAACCAGTACACTGAGTTACATGCCCAGCCCCTTTTCATTTTTTATTTTGAAATAAGGTCTTGCTCTATTGCCCAGACTGGGCTCAAACACACCCACTTCAGGTACTGTGACCCCCATATTTTCAGGTTAGTTTATATAACTGGTCTCGAGAGATGTTGAATCAGAAAATGAGCCTCACGACATTTCTGCAGTGACTCTGGATTCATGGAATGGTCCTCTGGCCACTATGATTCCTACATAGCCTGATGCATTGGCTTCAGGGAGGGACAAAGAGGATGGGTGTGATGACAGCCAGTCCCTCGGCCTTTCCCCCCCAGCAGGTCTTTAAAGGCCAGAGTCCTTTGCAGACTGCCTGAGACTGAGTTCTTCCCCAAGCACAGATGTCCCACATAGATGGCAATGACTCAAGCATTCCTTGAGAAATTTAGTGACCTAGATTTGACTTTTAAAGCAGAAAGCAGCTGTGGAATAGATTCTGTAAGTCTGAGCAAAAATTCAGCAGAGCATCACCTTTGTTGTACAATTTCTGACCATGTATATTTTGTTGTTATGACAAAGTACTTGAAACAGGCCAGCCTTAGAAAAAAGAATTTAGCTCACAGTTTAGAGGTTAAAAGCGCAAATAGCATGCCATGGGCTCTTGTAAACCCTCGGCCTTCTCCCCAGCTGAATGGTGAATGGCAATAACAAGAGCATGTGTGAGAGCAAGGTCAGAGAGAACGGGGTCCCACAGTCCCTTCTGAGGGTACACCGCCTATTGTCTTAAGGCTCTCTTCTGTCCTTTTTTTTTGTCTTTTTCATTTTTATTGGTACTCGGGATCGAACTCACAACCGCCTGCTTGCAAGCAGGTACTTATGCCGCTGAGCTAAATCCCCAGCCCTTCTTCTGTCCTCTTAATGGTTCCATCAGCTTCCACAGAATCACCTAAGCTTTTTTTTTAAAATCCAGAGAAGTGGGAATGATAGCCATGGCTACTGCTCAGGGTTGTTGGGAAAACGGGCCACATGCATAAAGTCCTCCACACAGAGCCTGGGAACCCAGGCGCTCGGCATTAAGATACCTTCCCTGATCTCTCGGGAGACACAGCCCTGAAGGTGGCACAATGACCTTGCCTGCCACCAGCCCACAAGATTAAAAGACAAACATAACTTTCCTTAACCAGCTCAACTTATAGGCCAGGATATAAAGTGGAAATTAAGTTTCAGGACAAGTTTTCAAAGCCTGTCTGCAGGACAGTACATTTTGCAGTAAATCCTGATTTCCTGGCTTCCAGATGCTGGGGGATCAGCTGGTCGGTCTGATGGACCAGTGCTGTAGTTATGGATGTGAATTACAGCTGTCCACAGTCCACAGGCAGGAACTTCAAGCTATCTCTCCTTTATGATGAGTAAACCTACTTAATAACATGGAAAATTTTATTCATACCAGAGATGAGGGTTATCAGAGTTGGGCCTACAGCTTTTCACTAAAAACCATACAGAAGAAAGAAATAATACACTCACTGAGCACAGGTAGCCTGTGCTGTTTATTTGATTTCCTTCTTGCTGGGCACAAGAAGCTCTCACAGGAAAAGGGGACTAGTGTGGGCCAGGTTCAAAGGAGGTCTTCACCAGAGGGCAGTGGGATGCACATGGGCTGTATGCCAACCCCAGGGCAGATGCATCTCTGATCAAGGGGCTTCCGCTCAGATGTGAGGTAGGCGTTTTATGGTCACAGTTTTTCAGGAGCCCCTGCCTGATGCTGGGCTCACTACACAGAGCAGGATGAGACCCGAGAGCACAGCGGGGCCGAGGCTGCAAGTGACTCAGCAGTGGCAGTGGGGCTGCAGTGCCCTCCTGATCCCAGTGGCCAGGGCTTGCGGCGTGGGGCTCTCTGCAGTGCAGCTCACAAGCAGGCCCTCGGCGGCCAGTGCACGAGCTGTGGTGGGGCCGATGGCTGCAAACTGCAGAGAGAGAAGAGACAAGAGGGCTTCAGTTCCCCAGGTCACACCCACACTCTTCCTGGTCCCCTGCGAGCCAGTTTAAGGGCATTTCCATTACAGCTGCCACAGGGTTGTAATTACTTATAAACTCATAACCAATACAGTCCCTAAAAAATGGGCATGTACATTTTTAAAATTAAAACATGAAAATGGCAACGTTTTTAGAATGGATAATTATTTCAAAATGTTTAGTCAGTAGAAAAGGAAGGGAGGGTACAGCCCCTGTACCATGCTCTGTGCTATGGACTTCACTTGAATTCTCTGATCTAAGCCTCTGCAGGGAAGACCACACACATCTACAAAGGCCACAGAAGGCTAATTATCCCCATGTTACAATGATGAACAGACTCAGAGACAGCTCAGACACTTGTGCCAGGCACCCGGGAGGAAATGCTGCTGCTTTTCCAATGCTACAGAACTGGCATCAGGGTGTCTGCTAGCCTATGAGTGCTTGGACTTGACAAGGAAATTTTAGGATAAACAAAACACTAATCTGAAAAAGACCAAAAGTTTGTAGAATGCCGTACCTTGATTTGATCAATGCTGTCACCAGATAACTCTTGAATATGCTTGAGACTGTATCTAAGACCAGAGGGACTGAAAAACGTGACACAGGCTGGGACGCCCTGTGGGGAAGAGAAAATGAGATCCACCCCTTACCTTACGCTGAGGAAAGACAACTCTTCCCAGCTCCGTTAGTGGGAGCTCCCTCAGCCACAAGCAGCCCTGGCTTTACAACAGGTATGGGATCTGTTATGCTGGGTCTCTGACCCCCCAGAATTGGGCAGAGCATTTAGAAGCCTCTCCTGGGAGTGCAAGAGGAGGTCTCTTCTGAATAGAAACAGTGAAGACATCAGTCAACCCAGCAAGAACTGTCCACTTGCTCGCCTGAGGCCTCCCAAACGCAACCCAGACTCCACATGGGCTCTTCCAATGCAACTCACCCTCGCCCCACAGGATGGAGAACAATGGTCACTACAGACCTCCGTCTTAAATTTGTCTTAGATGCTATACAAAGGGCTTTGCATTGAGTATCTTCTTTAATCCTTATAAGTTTACTAGACAAATCTATTCCAATGATGGCAACTTTTAGAGATCAGTGCCCCAACCCACTTATTTATTGCCAAGTATCAACACTGAATACTTATGGTTTAGTTTAGAAAAAACAACTCATACATTAATACCATTTCCTTAACGAGAAACAACATGCACATCATGGTTCCAATGGTATCTCCACTGGTGTCCCCATTCCAGACACAGAAATGGAGCCTCAGAAAGTTCCGTGCCCCAAAGCCACTCAGCTGAGAGCAGGGAAACTACACGGAGAATCAGCATCTCCTTACCTGGTGCTCACCCAGGGCCTGTCCACCGGGGCTCTCCCCAGGAATACCACGTACCTGCTTGGAGTAGTAGCTGTGTAGGTTCCCTTGGATTTCCGGATGTGGAATTGTCTGATAGACAGTTATGCTTTCCATGGGAATCCCTGGGCATAATGAAAACCAGGGAAGGATTTACTGCACTGGGAACATGTTGCAACCTCTGCCGTCTCAGTCCACAGTTGGTGGGGACATCTCAATGCAACACAACAACTGCGGAACAAGGTACTCTGAAACTGAAAGGCTGAACTGAAGGAAAGAGGCCCCGGCCAGCTCTCGGCAGCCTACTAAGCACTGTGGAGTGGCTCCTACTGTGGGGAAGGCTGAGATGGTGGACAGAGGTCAAAGGCCAGAAATCACGGCCTTCTATTTTCCCCACAGATGCCTTTCATTCCCTTGTGTCAGTTTGTCTACATAGGACCATCCTCTGCCAAACCTCAAATCCCACACAGACAAGACTCAGGACACTAGGAAACAAGGTCCAAAGGCAGCTCCCAGGAGAGGCTGTACATTAGGAGTTCCAGCAGTGTCCCAGTTCTGCCTCTACATGGCCGTGAGCACTCCCTCTAAGCCTCAGGGTACCCAGCTTGAGGGATTCATTCAGCGCAGCGCATTGAAGTCACCTTTGTCCTTGAGCATATTCGGTAGGACCTCCCTTTTGAGGGTTCCGCAGGGAAACAGAAGAGGCAGTGCTGGTGACTCCCCTGTAAATAAACAACCAACCACACTGTAAGTTTTGAAAAAACTCAGAAGGTGGTGCTGTGACCTTCTAAGAGATTGAGACCGCCCAAAGCTCCAGGCTCTGCTCATCTCAACCCTGATATCTGAGGAGCTTACTATATGAAAAAACAGAGGTAACCTGGGTGAAGGTGCTATAGAAAATTAACATCCGGGGGGGGAGGGAGAACATGGCGGACAGACAACAGCAACTACTGAAGGCTCTCTGAAAGGCTCGGCTCAGAGGCCAGGAATGATGCGGACTAAGGAGATACGAACCAGTAGAGATATGCTCTGCTGACTCAGGAACGAACTGGGCTGAGAGAATCCAACTTAGGATACAGTCCTGGTGCTAAAATAGGAACAGAAAAGACTCGGTGTAGAGGCTCGACCCCGCGCCATTGGAAACCGCGATTTGGGTTTCCCGCCACCCAGCGGCTGGCTGCCTCCACAGCGGCTCGGCAAGGAGAGACGCGCAGAAGCTCGGGAACGGGAGTCTGCGAACGGAGTCGGAAACAGGACGGACAAAGAGGCGTACACGAAAACTGACTGGTGGCGAGGTGAGAGAGAAACTACCCCCTACCACAGTTTGACTCCAGCGGAGGTTTTTCTGGGCTCAGGCAGTCCTGTAAGAGCAGGGCGCGGTGGCAACTCCAGCCACACATTCCCCTCTCGGATGGGATTGGTGAAAAGTCCCTGGCCTGAGTGACGCTGCTGGCGGACTCCCTAGGCTGGCCTAACCCAGATCCCAGAGCCTGACGGTGGCCCGGAGGGGCGACTGACGTAGGCTGCCTCCTCCGCAACTCCCTGGGGCGCAGCGGTGGGCGGGAACAACTACCCAGCGCAATTTGATCAGGCTGTGGCTGACAGGCAGGGAAGCCGGGCCTCCTATGTAAGCTTGCATTTTATAAGGAACAGAAAATATGGGGAAGGGAAGCAACAAAAAAGGCTCCTCGGCCCCCAATCCTGAGAATCAGGCAATAGTGGACACCGCACCAATATACATTAAGCGCCATATAGAGAGCCTCATAGACCAATTCAGGAATGAAGTTATCAATGACCTGAAGCTAGAAGTATGCAGAATAGTTAGAGAAATGCTAAGCACCACCCAGGAAAAAGCAGATGGTGGAATGGAAGAACAGAAAAAGAGGGGAGAATTGCTTGATGGAGAAAACAGAGAAAGCATTGAGTATGTGAAGCAGGTTCAAAGGGACTATCAAGAAATTAAGAAGTCTATCCAAGACTGGCATAACAGCTTGAAAGAAACTAAGGACAGACTATCTGAACTGGAGGGCAGACTTGAAACATGGGAGAATGAAATGAAAAACTTCTTAAAAATAACAAAGAAACAAACAGCAATAATACAAAGACTAGAAGATGATAAGAGGAGCCATAACTTAAGGATTAAGAACATAAAAGAAGAAGTAGGGACACAAACAAGTGAACTACAAAAGCTACTCACAGAAATAATCCAGGAGAATTTTCCTAATTTAGCAAAAGGTAAAGATACTCAGATGTATGAGGCATACAGGACCCCAGCTACCTACAACCCTAACAGAGAAACACCCAGGCATATAATAATAAAAATTCCAGAAATTCAATACAAGAACAGAATATTAAAAGCTGTAAGAGACAAGAAACAGATCACTTACAAGGGAACACCCATCAGAATTACAGCAGATTTCTCTTCACAAACCATCAAATCACGAAGAGCATGGGGAGAAATAATTCAAGCTTTGAAAGATAATAATCTCCAGCCAAGATAGAGATATCCTGCACAACTGTCCCTGGAAATTGACGGAAAAACGAGGTGCTTCCAGGATAAAGATGAACTGGGGGAATTTGCAACCACCAATTCAACCCTACAGAAAGTATTGCAGGATATTCTAAAAAAAGAAAAATACAAAGAACCCAGAAATAGTGGCGGGGAGGCCACAACGAATGGAGCAGAGAACAAAATGAAGAAGACAAACTGACAGCTACTGACAGAAAAAGAGCTCAACAGAAATGAGACAGAGAAGATTGGATGATAGGAACAGCTTTTTTTTGGAGAAAATGACATCTTAATAGGTAATGCTGATTTAGTACCATTTTGTTTTGAAGTCTCATCTAGCTTTTGTTCTTCTGTCTCCAATGGTCTAAACAGGTTGTATCTTATTGGATTTTGTTATGTACGATAGTATAAGCAAAAACCTTTTAAAGACAAGGAGATTATACAGAGACCATTGCTCATTTTCTGTTAGTCGATTCTAAATACTCTATAATGCTGTCATTCTCTTAAATGGTTTTACATTGTTTTGATATACTTAATGCTACAGTATATGAAGTTGTACTCAAGGACTTCAGGGAGGGAGTCAATATGGTAACTATTTTTGGGTCAGGAATATCTAGTGGTGAAACACTATTCTGCTTAAATGGTTATGTTTTGATCTGCCCTGTTTCGCTGTTATGCCCTCTTTTTTCTCAATCTCCACTCCATTATTTACTTTTTTATTTTTATCCATTTAATTAAAGGGAAAAATATAGCAGGATATAATATAGCAACCCACTTTGACTCTCTATTATCTCGATTTGAAGCCCTGTATTACTCTCACCATCTTGTTTTTGACTGAGGTTCCTCTATTCTGTTTTGCTGGATAGTATCAGGTTCGAAAGTTTAGGCATCAGCTGAGAAGATAATGAGATTCATTATAACGCCCATTCTCGTTGACTTTTATCTACTTTTGAAGACCTACAATATCTCCAATGTTTTGGTTTTGTCGGTTTTATTCTTTACGGTTTTGTTCAATTGTATTACAACTAATGATATAGGCAATTCTATTAGAAATAGTGGGAGGCATTATGGTAACCATTGTTGATCACCTTGTATTATGTTTTTATAATATCTATTATGTCCACCCTTTTGACTTGACCGATTCTGTTCTGTTATGTCACATTTGGTTTTACTCTCTTCCAAAAAAGCAATACGAACCGTGGGAGCAATGAAACCCAAAAAGTGTAATAGTCACTGTACAAAAGAGAGGAAAAGAAAGTGCTCTAAACTATATAACTGCATGTATATTTAAATGTATAAGATAGAAAATGATATCACAGAGTTTTATTGGATCATTGAACAGAACTGTTTGCAGTATCATTGTTGGAATGTTCACTCTACAAGCTTTAATTTTGTGACTGGAACAATTATTTCTAAGATGGCAATATGTAATCCATTAACTAGTGATTTCCTACTGCGCATTTTTTTCTTCTGTAAATCTGTATAACTTGTACCCCTTCACTGTTTTTTTTTCTTTCTTTTCTTTTCTCCTTAAATAAAAATTTAAAAAAAAAAAAGAAAATTAACATCCAAGTTATATCATATACAGGTACAAACTCTCTACGATGAAAGTAATCATTATGTATATCAATAAAATCTGATTTTTAAAAAAGAAAACTAACATCCACACAGACAAGGTCACAGAGCTCTTTCAATCCCCCATGATCCTAAAGTGGCTCCCTAGCTACAGTGAGTATTTAGAATTTCTTCAAGTCAGAAAGGTAAGGACGGAGCCTGATTGGTGGCCCTGAGGTAAAGGTTTTTCAGTCTCTGGGGTAGGTTTTAGATGAGCCAAGGCTCAGGCTCAGGAGGCAGCAGGGAATTAGCCACAAGGAGTGACTCTGCAGTCACCTCCAAAAAAACCAGCTTCCTGTCTGCTGCTATCCTAGGTCTGTAAGCAGCCACTAAGCCAAGCACTCTGAGTCTTATAGAGTCTAGGAAGATATGAATAACCCTAGCTCTCACTGTGCCTCCTGCCCCATCTCTGCTCTAGGACGCCTTACAAGCATTTGTGGCCCTAAGCACTTTGCTAAGTAGCGATGATAGCATGCAATTTGAACACCAATTTGCAACAGTACCATCCAACAAAACTGACAGGTTGTCGGATGTCAGACTTTTCCCTGAATGTGAAAACAAAGAATCTTTGTAAAAGCACCCCTGATCTGTGCATTGGGTGCAAGAAGCTTTAATGGGTGTTGGCCATGATGAGACATTGTGTATTTTTTTATATCCTTAAGATCTCTCTGAACATATCTTTTGTGACTGCAATCAAAAGGAGGAACAAAACAAGTTCTGCCCATCTAGCATCATTTCCTTGAAGCAGCAGCTAAGCAACAGGGATTAATTGTGAACTACTCTATTGGAAGTATGTATAATAGCCACACACTGGGAATGTCTTCTTTATTGTAACTCCTCTGTAAATATCACTACTAACATAAAAGATCACAACAAATTGGGAAACTGTTAAATGTAGGTAACAGACATCTGCTGAGTTCTTTTTCAGGTTGGGGAAAATGTTTCATGCAGTGCAGATGACATTCCTAGAGACATACTTCAAAGCCATGTTCAGGTACTGTTTTAACCTGAGCTCAGGCTTTCTTCTCCTATGTGTGTTAGGGCTGAGGGCAAAGCTCTGTGGGAATCTGGCAGCAAAACCAGCAGTCCAAGTACAAGTTTCCAGCAAGCCCCAAGGGCGTGCTACAGGCCTTCAGAGGAGTTAAGAATCTCCCTTTTGCCGCATCTCTTCTAGAGATCCAGAGGAGAACTAGCTACTCCTTCACATCCTCTGATTCCTGGATGAGTGGCCAGCTTAGGAGCTGAGTCTCTCCCTCTCCCCATGGCGCTCACAGGCTAGGCTGCAGTGGTGCCTACAGGTAGGTGCTCATCTCTTTCGCTCTAGGCATTCAGGGCTCACGGATTTTCCATCAGCTCAGCTGACTTCACTGGAAAGTCATCACCCTACTGGCAGAAGAAGAAAACCTGATTATGTCCTGATGCAATTCTTCGCTACTGAGGGGCAATCTACATATTGCTAAGAGCTAAACTCCCTTCTAGAAGTCAGGAAAATAACCTATTTTTTAGGGCTCAGCTTAATGCCTCTGGATTTATCTTCGACCTAAACAAGTCAATGCAATAATTAATGCTGGTGATTTTCAATCCAGAGGCCAATACAAT